TTGCAGGCAGGGTGGTGCGCCCTGCAGTCCCAGGTGCTGCGGCTGTGGTGAAACAAGAGCAGTGGTCAGTTCTCCCTGGGGATAAGGTGGGTGAAACCCAGCCCCCCTCTGCAAGGCGAGGTTGGCGTGTGGGGAACGGGCCAGTGCCCCTGCATGACACCCAGCTGCTGCTCCATGGTGGGCAAGGCCCAGGCGCATGGTCTCTGGGCTCCCTCTCCCCCCACTTCCCCCATACACATAGGGGGAGCATGATGGCACTCACATGTGGAGCCCTCCCCGGCCTTGGACGACACAGCCGATGTACCCTGTGGGGTGCTTCTGGGGTCCTGGGTCCTGGGCAAGCTCCCTGCAGGTTCCTGTCTCTCAGCGTCCTCCTCCTCCATGTCCAGGATGGGTCCCTCTGCTCCGGAGTCGATCACCACCCGGGGGCATGCACTGCGTCAGTCCCCAGGTCATGGTCTCTGGGCTCCCTCTCCCCCCACTTCCCCCATACACATAGGGGGAGCATGATGGCACTCACATGTGGAGCCCTCCCCGGCCTTGGACGACACAGCCGATGTACCCTGTGGGGTGCTTCTGGGGTCCTGGGTCCTGGGCAAGCTCCCTGCAGGTTCCTGTCTCTCAGCGTCCTCCTCCTCCATGTCCAGGATGGGTCCCTCTGCTCCGGAGTCGATCACCACCCGGGGGCATGCACTGCGTCAGTCCCCAGGTTGTGGTCCAGGGCCTCATAATGGGGGCATGCCTGCAGGTCAGCCCCTAGCTTAATTTTGCAGCAGACCTGCTCCCGGGTCCGCATGTGGCCTCTGGTGGCCAGGCTGTCAGCCATGCGGCTGTAGACAACCTCATTCCTTTGACTAGTGTGGAGATCGTGGACGTTGGAGGCCTCCCCCAAACCTCGATGAGGTCCACGATCTCCGCACTAGACAGGTGGGCGCCCGCCTCTTGCGGCCCCGGGCAGGCTCCCAGGAGCCGGCAGCCCGGGCCCGGGGAGAGGAAAAGGTTCGTGCTGTGCCAGGTGCAGGGTCTGCTGGCTGGGTGCTGGCAGGCTTGCAACTGGAACAAGCACTGTAGCCAGACCGTGCCCCTTTAAGGGCTCCAGGGCTGGGAGGGGAGCAGAAGAGTTTCCCTGGTGGTGCCCAGAGTGGCCACCAGGGAAAGCTGGGGAGGGCTAGCCTCCCAGTAGTTCGAATTAAGTAGCTTCACAGCCCTTAATTCAAACTACTTTATTCGAACTAGGCGTTAGTCCTCGTAGAATGAGATTTACCTAGTTCGAATTAAGCGCTCCGTTGCTTGCAGTTTGCATGAATAGACGCTTTGAAAGTTAATTCGAACTAACGGCTTTTAGTTTGAATTAACTTTGTAGTGTAGACATAGTCCCATAGGAGTCTTCAGAGAGGGAGTGGGTATATCATGCAATCCTTTGTAGTAGTGCCTTCTGGTCATTGGTGCAGCTGTAACTGCCACCATGTGGAGCTGAACCTGGGACCTCTGGAGCTTAGTGAAGGAGCCTCTACCATTCTGACCTAAAAGCTAGGTCTCTTGGGGTATGTCTACGCTACAAAGTTAATTCGAACTAATGGACGTTAGTTCGAATGAACTTTGATAGGTGCTACACTAGCGCTCCCCTAGTTCGAACTTAATTCGAACTAGCGGAGCACTTAGTTCGAACTAGGTAAACCTCATTCTACGAGGACTAAGCCTAGTTCGAACTTACTAGTTCGAATTAAGGGGTGTGTAGCCCCTTAATTCGAACTAGTGGGAGGCTAGACCTCCCCAGCTTTCCCTGGTGGCCACTCTGGTTGATAGGTGCTACACTAGCGCTCCCCTAGTTCGAACTTAATTCGAACTAGCGGAGCACTTAGTTCGAACTAGGTAAACCTCATTCTACGAGGACTAAGCCTAGTTCGAACTTACTAGTTCGAATTAAGGGGTGTGTAGCCCCTTAATTCGAACTAGTGGGAGGCTAGACCTCCCCAGCTTTCCCTGGTGGCCACTCTGGCCAACACCAGGGAAACTCTATTGCCCCCCTCCCGTCCCCAGACCCCTTAAAGGGGCACGGGCTGGCTATAGTGCCCGTGCCAGGTGCAAGCCTGCCAGCACCCAGCCAGCAGACCCTGCACCTGGCATGGCTCCAGCCACCCCCCCGATGCCCCCCCCC